ACAGCCTTCTGCATCTGTGCGGCTAAGATTTCTGCCTTAGTGCGGCAAGCCGGTATGATTTTGAGATTCGAGAGTAGAGAAGACATCATTCCACCAAGGACTCCAATAATCAGAACGACCATCTTGACAGAGTGATCTGGATAGAGTCTGCGGAGTTCGAAGAGAAAATCTCGATATTTTATCCGTTTCTCCTTATCTTTTCGGACGATATTCGTCCCGCCAGGAGGTGAAAACCCCACGACAAATATCGTCTTGGTCTGGAGGTCGAGAAGGACTACTTCAGACTTATTAGCTTGTATGAGCCTGAGGGTGGGGAACGAATAGTTCCAATAAATTCGGCACTTCTCGTTCCACACAAAGGAATCAACAGAAACGTTATCAAATTTTTCACAATGTTTGGCGATCGTTTGAAAATATGAAATTTACAGTACGCCATGAAATTTTTTATCAGAAATTTGAGGAATGTGAGAGGTTGCAGATTTCTGGAGCACAACTAATTTTGCCAAATTATACTGATGTACAAATTTGAATCCTTTGGAGTTTTTCTACTATTGCTGCTCAACAGCAGCATGCAATTTCAGTATCCAACTATCTAGATCTTGCGAGATGAATCAAAGAAACCATGCAAAGAACCATGCGAATTTTCTTGGTTTTTCAGGTAATTCAAAACTGTTTTGTTTGTCTTTTACTGATATCAACTTCCTTCATAAGAATGGCATGGTTAAACCTAGCTGTAGTTTTATTCGCTGAATGGTAAATAATTCGCCCCCAACTAACAACAATCCTCAGAAGTCAAAACTTGTGCGTATATCAACGAGATCTTACCTTTTAATGTGCGATTTCTAACACGGGTTGGACGATACGCAGTGAGGATCGATCGTTCGTCCGTAGGGCTCGAACCGTGTTTCAAGTAGCGGTCGATTGAATAAGTAGAATGAACACATCACGCAACGCGAATAGAAAAAATAGAATATATGAAAATAAGGTCATGGCTGATGAGTTTTCAATTTTTAATGTATTGTAATACTTCATTCAGATCTCTTATCGGATTCTTAATTGAGCCCAATCTTTGCTTTTGTTGCAGAATGGTGTTTTGAGTTCCTTACCCTTACTCGCCAAATGGTTATCGACTTACATTTTTATTTANTGTATTCCAAATGTTTATTGAAATTTACTTTGATACTATCGTTAACAATTGTAAGATCACTTCAATATTTGGAAAAATTTAATTTTTTCTCTCTTTGATAATCATTATCTTTATCTATTGTTTTAATAATTCATTTGTACACTTATCACTTATTAAATTAAAATGTGAAAATTGATGCAAGTTTATGATGTAAATACATAATAAATACCGTCAAATAACCTCAAAGTCTACAAACGTACTCAAAGTAATATGTAAAAATACTTGAGTGAATGAGAAACCTTAGGGTGGTAGCATTGTCCCGAGCAAGACATCTGCGCCCCCGGACGACGCTTCTATTCACTATGGAGAGGAGTCTGGCCAAATGCGCTCGATTAGGAAGCAACCAACTGACATATAAATTAAAGAAGAAGAAAATAACTTCAGAATATCGTTTTTCGTGACAGTGTCCACGCGCAGTTTTCCCCTAACGCATCAAAAGAAATATAACTTCAATAAATAACACATTTTTTCCTGATATCTTCAGCACAAAACATAATAGATTATTCAGATTACACTTGTAGTACCGACGAGATTTCGCTTTTTTGTTTCAGGTTCAATGATTCCGGGTGTAGCTTTGATTGTGCTTGGAAACAGTAAAGCAGGCGAAGGAGAAAAGTGTGTTGCTTTGTTGATCGTAGCACTTGGATTTGCCAGTGCTAACTATAGTGGGGCTCTTGTTAATTGTTTGGATCTTTCGCCGAACTATTCCGGTGTCCTAACCGGTATCAATTATCAGATATCTATGATGTTGGCAGCCCTGAGTCCACTGTCAGTGGACTTCTTTGTTGTTGATAAAGTAAGTGCTAGTGAAAAGTGATACAATCATTATTAATATGATTCCGAAGCTGGTAGAACTTCAATAAATAGGTAGTGTGCATGTATATTGTGAAAGAAGAATACTACAATATTAGAGTTTGGAAAATATCATCAAGATTTTCGAGCTTAATCACTACATTAAGTTGTTTGACGATATTTCCATAGATGCTATTTAAGGGTAGGTAGGTAGGTCTAAAGTGAGTGGGTCTATTCGACCCTCCGCCGCAACCCACAAGGGTTCATTGTGGCTACCTATTCACACTCGGCCAAATAAACCCAGCTTCTTGACGAAGCCGATTAGTTTGTATGCTGAGTGGTCTTTCAGGTCAGATGGTGAGAGTACGAACTTAAAAAACCTGATTCGGTCCCCAGCGGGGCAGGCATACAGTATATGCTCTGATGTTTCATCATTTTCTAGACAGAGGCGACACACACTGTCTTCCGACAGTCCAATTCTCTGCAAATGGTGATTCAAATGACTGTGACCTGTAAGAAGGCCTGTTAGACATCGTAGTTCATCCCTACTGTAGTCCAACAACTGTTTGGCAATTGCACCATAAGTGATCATTGGTCTGACAATCATCACATAAATCCAATGGATTTGTTTGGGACCTAAACCTCAAGTTTTACCACAAATCCTTCGACATGTCCATAGAGCTAGTCTGGCTTTGTATAAAACTTTTTTCCAAGTGAGCGTTCCAGGTGAGTCTTTCATCAAGGACAATGCCAAGATATTTCACCTCCGTTCCAAATGGAATTACCACATCAATGAGGAAAGTGGCGTTAGATCGTCCAATTTTCTTCTCTTGGTGAAGGGAATTACCACAGTTTTGCTGGGGTTGACGGACATCTGTTCCCTCAGGCACCAACTGTGAACAACGTCCAAAGCGCTTTGGAGGATATTACAAGCTACCCTTCCCGATGTGGACCTTGCCAGGATGACAAGGTCATCTGCATAAACTTGCAGATCAACTTTTCTTCTGTTGGTATTCCTGTTGGTTGGTATACCTGTATGGGTGGTACGCCTGGATGGTTTACCTGTATGTGATAACTATATAGCATAAATAGGGTTAGCTAGCATTAGTTTCCAATTTTAATCTTCCTCTTTGAAGATGATCACTTGGTGATCGAAACACGTGTCAAGGTGTTAAAAATAACGATTTGGTGTTGGGAAATTATGTCATCTTTGTTTGTCTCATACAGGTAACAGATTCATTGTCCTTTATTAGCTATAACCGATGTTGCCAAATGGTGAAATAGAAACGAATCCCCTTGAATGTTGAATGCATTATTTCATTCTTCTTTTTTTGAGTATTTAAATGATTTTTCAAAGAAAAAGGTTGAAATGATGAGTTTAAAATGCGTTCGTTTAGAGCTCTTTTATGAAAACTACTTGATTTTCGTCAGGAGTGTCAGTGCCAGTGTCATCCTGTATAGCACCGTCTAGCGACACAAAACTACTTGTATTGAAGATTGGATTATATTCGGGTTTGAAAACCAGTGGAATGAATGAAAGTTTGCATTGATATATTGAATGTACTCTTCTTCTTGGATATTTTTTTTCTTGGTTTCAGATTATTAGATTTTTTATTGGTGTCATTTTTTCGTTTTTCAGGAAGATCCTAAACAGTGGAAGTATGTATTTTACTTAACTGCTGGAATATATACTTTCTCCACAGTGATTTACCTGATTTTCGGATCTGGAAAGGTACAAACATGGAATGACGAAATTCAAAGAGGAAAAAATTCAGTCTGCACCGTCCAGAAAGATGAAGTTTTGAATACAATGTTGAATAAGCAATTAATAAGTAAACAGAATGGAAAAGAGATTGCCTAGAATAAAATTACTTGCAGTGTGTATGGAATTTTATTTATAGCTACATTCAAAATTTAACCTTGGCATCAGGTTTTACTCAGGTCTAAATCAAAAACACCTGAAAGATGTTAGCTACGCGATTTCCATCTTTGGTCAAATTTTAATTTTTCTCCAAAAAAGAATCACAAAAGTTTGGTAATTTCACATCGTTTCAAAAAATAATTTGTAACGAATGTTCTCAACTATCAATCTACCTTGTCGCATAGGCTTCTCTGTCTGCCTGAATTTATTTTCTCGTGAGATAGTTTTGAATTTGCAATAGCTTTTTGAAATAATGATTTGAATTAACCAGGGTAACATTAAACGACACTATGAATCGAAACATCTTCAAAGTTACTCCAAGTATACAGGAAGTTTGCGGAAGTTTAAATTCAATTATGAATGTTAGAATTATGTTGTATATTTTTCCATTGAGTGTAGCTAAAAGGACCGTTATATTGGTTGGAAACGAACCATCCGAGAAAAGCAAATTATTTAAGAAATTCTTCAGGAAAAATATGAAACGTTTCACGATTTTGCGTGTCATCCTTGCGCAGGGGCCATGCTAATCTTTTCTGTATCGTTCCAATTTTAGTATATGTAACGCCGAAGAGGATGTTTATTATTACTATTGTATCTTAGTTCAATGTTTGATGGCATTTAAAGACGAAAAAATAACTCACAGTCCCCCAAACATAATAATTCCTCTACTTACTACTAACACGTTAGCTACACGAGTTCCTCCATGTTAATGTACTCTCGTCCCACCCCGCTGGCTGAGCTACTTGGCATACCATGTTCAGAAACACAGCTAGATTTGCCAAGCTATAAATGGCGTTTATATATTCTTTTTTCCGCATCTAGGTAACGTGAGACATGAGAAAAAATGAAAATAGTTCACTTGAAAATATAATAATAGTAACATAATTTGAATGAAATATTATTCCTCTTTTTTTATTGAGATTTCCAAGATGGTTTTCTTGATGATTTCAAGTAGAATTGAATACTGAGAAATCTCAGATGTCGACCGACCTAGATCATAAATATAGTTCCATTGGCTGCGTCTAATAATTTATTGGGTGTCTAAAAATCCGTACTTTTCAGTGATTCACGAACAGATATTTGTAAACCATCACATGGAGAAAGTTACGACCTTTCATCTGGGGAAAAATAGATTTTGCAATTCGCAGAAGAAAGTGGAGAGAAATGAGCTCCTAACAGAATTCAGGAGCACCTGTTATACTAGAGTAGATACACGTGAACGTTGATTTATATAATGGAATGGAAAAAAAGAAATGTAATACCTCATCGATCGATAAATCATACAAATTATTCACATGTCGTTTATCATTTTTCCAGACTTGACTGCAGAATGATTGTTATGTCACGACTTGGTAGTTTTACATGTTAATCTGCCGAGTAAATTGCAGCAATTAGTTGATAGAGTTAGCCATTCGAGGAAAATGGAACAAAAAACATTTGCATATTCCTTTCTATAACAAAAACCGGAAATTTTCATAGAAAACAAATTTTTATGAAAACTGTCTCAATAACGTCAATTTCATTGTCGAAATAATATAGATCTAGCTGTAGGAAAAATATTTTTATTAGATTCATTACAGGTTGAAGATTCCAATTGTAAGTTCCATTGAAATAATGTTGTTGGATATTTTCACAAATAAATACATTTCTTCGAAGTGAACATTTTAGAGACTGTCCCACTGTCATAGATTTTATTACTGATACTGACATTTTTATTATTTTTTCAATTGGAATATGGAATAATGAATATTATATAGCGATATTGGAGGGTTTCAAGGCCAAAATTGCAATGAAACGACCGCATGAAGATAACATTTTGTTTCCTCAACAACGCACTGTATCACAAGACAATGAAAACAATGACAAAACTACATGAATTAAATTTGGAATTGCTTCCACATCCACCATATTCGCCAGATTTAGCTCCTAGCGACTATTGGCTGTTCACAAACCTCAATGAATGGAGCAAATTTTGAACAAAAAAAAAACCGCATTTTTTTTCTTAGGCTCTGGACTTTCTAGTCCATGACTAAAAACGAATATAATAACGAATATAAAGTAATATACAGTGCATTTCTTCAATGCCTGCCACCTTTTATTTTTTGAACGGGTCAACTCAAAAAATTGAAATTTAAGATAATGAACTTCTTGACATATGAACAGCCTATCCGATATTTCACGCCAAACATTTTCGAACACAGTAACGTCAATATTTCTACAAATATTTATTATTCTTTGCCGTATATTCAATATTGAAGCAGGTACAGTTTCGTTCACCTTTAAGTAACATTCTCCAGCCACAAGCAGACTTTGCAAGGTGAGTATATCCTGACTGGAAGAATACACACTTTGGTGACAGGTGTTCCATGTTTATTCCTAATTCGAACAACTCTGATGACTCCGTTTCTACCAGGAAACGTTTCTTCTATTTTTCCTATGATTACTGATTCCTGTATCTGCTAATGCTTGTGCGATTCTCCATTGCTTTCTGCTAGAAAGTTCCAGATTGCCGAATGATCTAACATCACCTGGTCGCAGTAGCAGAAAATGATTTGGAATGATAGTTTCTGGCTCATTTGGATCGACTGATATGTGTGTCAAGGGCCTTGAATTGATAATATATTCAATTTCACTCATCAAGGTCACCAAAACCTCTTCTTTTGGATTGATGGACTTCAAACTGATCTTCAGAGCTGTTTTAATGAATCTTATCATCCCTTCCCAGATTCCACTCATGTGTGCAGCTCCTGGAGGGTTAAATTTCCAAATGATATTTTCAGATGCGGCTTCTTCTAAAATCTTTTTCTGATCTAAGCTTTGGGACCATTCCTTGAGTTCACGTTCTGTTCCGACAAAGAAAAGAAAATGCTCTTAACCAGCATACTTGGCATAGCTTACTGTTACTCAAAGATTTTATCAATACCACCAAAAGCTCAGACGAGAAGATCAATCAGTACCTGAATAGACGAAACGGGTTATATCATAAAGTTGAAAATGCTGGATTCGAATTTGGCGAAAAAGTTCAAGCAGGATTCACGGTATTAGGTTCACCTGATTAATATGAGCGCTTAGCAAGGAATCTAAGAGCTGATGAAGATGACCTGAATATGTGCAATTTGAAGTCAAAGCTGCTAGAAGAAGAAAGACGAATCGAAAGTAAGCTGAATGGACAAAAAGAAAAAGATGAAGTTGAAGCATTTGCCATGGAAAAGACACAGATGAATTTTAAATGTGGAAATTTCAAACCTAGACGTGGAAAGCTATTTAATAGAGCAGGCTTGAACCGGAATAGTGATACCACAAAACCTAGTTATTCACACGAACATTTGAGGTGCTACAGATGTCTGGAGATATGTCACATTGGAAAAAAATTTCCTTTGCCTGCAGCAAAAGGAACGAAACCATGCATATCTTCCGATGAGTTGGAAAAGTCAGACGCTTCAACTTCAAAATTTGTATTCAGTGCTATACGAAGGAAAGAAAAAGAAAATGAACATCATTTTTGTTACTTAGTGAATAATAAAACAAATTGGGATACTTGGATACCAGACGGTGGATCTACCGATCATATGACGTCAAATTTTGAGAAATTCATAAATTTCACATAACGAAACACAGTTGTAGAAATAGCTAGTGGAAAGACGATCCTATCAACAGGTTTTGGAGATATTGAACTGAAATTGGAGGAGGAGCTGTGAGTTGGTCCAGTCGTAAGCAACACTGCGTTGCACTAAGTACTGTAGCTGTTTTTTCATTTCGTAAATGTTGTACGATTCGAAATTAATTGTTTGCTTCAGGAAATTATTTAATGTTCCGCTATTTTATACTAGGTGAAGACATTGACTTCATATTCTAGGGTTATGAATTATTCATCAGGAGCTTCAAAATGATCTGTCACAAGACCTCCCCTTTTCATTTAATTTTTTCCCAGGTGACGCCTAGTCGCCTACTTCAAAATAAAGTATTCATGCATTAATTTCATTATCCCAAATATCAATTTTTTGAGTTGATCCGTTCAAAAAATAAAAAGGGGGGGGGGGCATTAAAGAAATGCACTGTATACTCCAAACATAAGGAACTTGGAATAAAATTACCGAAACTTGGGTTCTCTTCCACCGAATCATAAAATAAAACTAAATGTTTTGGGTTGACTTTTTTCAGTTAATGTAGTAACATTCTGATACTGTGGAAAGGTTTATTTAAATTGTTTACTTTCTTACGTTTTTCTTAACCGAAACGAGAATATTGAAAGTAGTGGGAATCAAACCGGATTGAAATGAGCTGCCAAAAGTCGACTAATCTATGATTCGTTTCAACACGGATTTTACATTTGTTGCAAATATGCTCGAATGTTAGCAACAAGAGTCGTACCACAACTCCCGTCGAAAAAGGTGATATAACGCGCTTCAAGAAGTTTTTTTACTGTTTATGGGCGTCTGTGGGAAAAATAAAAATCTCTTATATAACTGGAAGTTCTAAATTGTTGGTGAGTAGGTTTTTTCTCCAAAATTTTTAAATTAATAAAAACATAATACGAAATATACAGTCTGCAGCATCACAAATGACTCGCTTGATTGTGGTTGAATATTGAATTTTTCCCAATATCAGTTTATTATAACATATTGGATTGAAATACGAGTATTCATAGGAATTATAATGAAGCTCATTGTAAAACATCTTGCTTGAAAGGGATATTTTCAAATAGACATTAGTTTTTGAGATGAAACCTCTTTGGCTTTCTACTTCAACATCTTTATGAAAAAAAAAATGGGGTAAAGAAGCAATTCAGACAGCAGTTGGGTTCAAAATGAGCTGTTAACAAAGATGTGTGGATTATGCACTGAACTGACTAATTTATAATTAACGTTACATTACACGAAAGAAAGAGTTCTTT